GCACCTCATCCGGTCGTTCGAGCCTCTCCCGGGTGATGCTCACCTCGGTGAGGAGGGTCCGGAGTCGTGGCGAGGTGGTGTAGGTCGTAGGTAGTGTAGGTCATAGAAAATGCATGGAGAGCTCCGGTTGTACCACCACACATACCATCCTGTAGTTGGTTGGTAGGTCAGTTTTGTTGGGTATATAAGGGTGTACATCCCCGACCCAGGGGCCCAGTGGATGATGACGGTGAGGTTGTAGGCCCTTCTCAAAAGAGTAATGTTCTCTTTTGCCGACTGTTACTGGTCGGGATATACCCAAGTCAGAAGTAACAAACCAGACTTCACCGAGCTGAACGTTCTCCCTGGACTCCACCAGCATCGCTTTCCACTGTCTCCACCATCGCCGCTTTTGGCGTCGAAGACGGCGACCCGACAGCAGAGAAGCCGGCGGGACGCGCAGTCGAAGCCGGGGCTGGGGTCGATTCGAGCTGAACAGACAGGGTAAGCCAAAACACGTCGAGGTATGATTTCAGAGTGTGAATTCGCCGATCGTCGCCAGTCTTGCCCTTCATCAGTTTGTTTTTTGGTTGGTGTCCGAACGACTTGATGCCTACCCGTGCATCTGTAAAGGGATTGCTGTCCTACCTTCCACGAGCACAAACTCCACGACATCATTTCAACACAAACCAACCAACCTCCAGAGGTTGGAAGAATGTATTCACGACATGTATATACCCATGAGTGCAAACAACAATTCAAAAACAAAGAGTAGAAAAGAAGAACAAGCACCAGCCAGTACTGGTAGCGAAATGCATGCTTGGGATGGACCTTGGGGAGTCTTGCAAACCTACAGGGTTGAACCAGGAACCTCCTTAAACCGTCCATGTTGCTCAAGCGAGCAAACCATTTGGACACATTTCAGGTGTTTGTTCCCAACAAGAACCACGCAGGAGTGCCCATATGGCATTATTATGTGGGATTGTGTGGCTGTTTCTAATGGCCACATGAAGCCCCTGTAAAAAAGGCCCCTCCAGCATCCCACCGACCAATCTGCCAGCTCAAGGTACAGTCTCTTGACCTAGGTGTCTCCAAGAGATCCTGAGGCCGATGAACAGCCTAACAGCCCGGGTTGGCCCAAAACAACGGCGGGCCCCAGAAGAAAACAGCCAAACTGCAAGAATTCCTGGCAGCTCTTGAGCTCAGCTGCACTCTACTGTTGGGTGTATCCCATTACCAGGGATGATGATGCTTAGTACAGGCCGTCACTGGTGGGACACACCGTAACTGTATGTGAAAGATCAACCACCCCGCCCAGTTGAGGGAATCCCTGATGATTGCTTCAGGCGTCCGTCGTTCTGGCCAACGGCCAACCACCCTTCGAGTGACACTAGGGTCAATGCACAAATCCAAAAAACTGCACCAGGGGTGTTGTTTGGACGCTACCGCTAAGGTGGTAAAAGGACGCCCCTTACCAGCAATTTGGTGGTATCTGTCAGCAAATGTGGTGTTCAGCTTCAAACCGCATCCATCTCAGCCTTTCTGAAGGGCTTAGGGGCCATCAGGCGCCATCATCGAAGGGTAAAAGGCGCCCTTTTTCGCCAAGGAAGCTGACTGGGCTTCATGGATGCAAAGACAAGACAACTTCTTACTGAAGAGACCATACTAGTGTAGTGGACACTGCACACATCTGCACCTGTCAGCTTCCACTGGTTGTGCACAGCTTGCCCGTTTTGGGACAACCCAGGACAACCCTAAACCCCTTTCTGATCAGATCATTGACCCGGCCCGCTCCCCTAACGAACGCACTCAATTGCAGCAAGGTGCGAAAAGCCAAAGATGGCCTGTTCTAAGGAGATGTGGAGCACCTCACATTCGGAGAAAAATCGTCTCTCTGCTCATCGTATTACCCTGATCCGCAAAGGCAGAACGTGAGCGATAGTGGATCGGTATGATTCCTGATAACAAACACCGCGGGTGTACACAACACTAACGTTTTGGCAGGTGCGGCAGGTTGTGTTTCGCGGGAACCAAAAAAAGCTTCGATTTTGGAAGATGCATTCCTTGAACAAATGTGATGAGGCCAGGACAAGAAACAAGAAAAACACCTTCACAAAATGTTTTCGTTGATGCGGCGTGCGGCGTGCACAGGGAAATGCTATTTAAAGATGATGTCTTTGATAGTTTTCCCATCAGACGCTGGCGAGGCCCTTTGGAATTGGGGCCCGGAATTGGGCGCCGGCCATTGACGTTCCCGTAAGATCACATTGACGTTTCCGTCTCACAGGGTGTCCCTCGATATGTTGGGAAATGGCTGTTCTGCATGCCAGACCCGTAAAAGAGACCCTTCTTTGGCCTGGAGGCAGTCAAAGACAGTTTACAAGAAAATGTGGAATGAAGCTTTGCGACACTTCCAGAAGGAATTCCAAGAAGTGTTTGTTTAAAATGTGTTCTGCTTCAGAAAGCATTCTTTCTCATGGGTGGGACATGTCGAGACATCTTTTAACAAGCTTCACAGAGAGGAAGATTCACTTACAAATCTTACAATCCTCGGATCACATGGGCATCTGTGGGCTATGGGCTTCTCCCTTCACTGAGCAGCTCAACATGGAGAACAGTCACAACGAAAGGCATGCCAGCAGAGGTTGAAGAACCCATAAGAACCCTATAGACTATCCTATAGGTACCCCAGGCGACGGGGTCCTATTTACGGTCACAAAAAACAAACTCTGTTGGTGAGATGCCCAGTTGTGGGCCAGACTCTGCCATCAGACTCATTCAGTGAGGCCTATGAACCCACCATTGTATGATGTCCATTCGTGACTTCTTCTCAGGTGCTTCTACGAACAAATGGCTCTGGTCTGGTTCCTTACAATATAGACTCCAGGAAGATCCTGTAAGCCCTATTCGAAGGATGCTCATCCCACAAATTGTTCCAGCATATACAGGAATTATACTCATCCAAATTCAAAGGGGAGTCTATTATTCCATCTGTCAATCCCACTCTCATCACCAGTTGCAGCCCTGGTTTTCCAGTGTTTTGATGCACTTCCGAGCTTCCCGCCGTGTGCAAATCCGACTCAGCAATCCGGTAGCTATCCTCTTTGCTTCCTGGAAGGTTGCGTTCACGAGACAGGCATGGGAAGTGAGTGATTCTGATCCACCCATCTGACTTGAAAGGCAATGACCAGTGAATCACGGTCAGATATTTTCCCACCACCAATCCTCAGATCTTCCACTTGCTTGTGCTTGTCTCGGGGCTGGAAGATGGGATAGAAATTCAAAAAGGGACGGGACGCCTGCTTCATCGACAGCCAAAACATCCTACTGCAGCGACCCCAAAAAAAAGGAATCCCAAGCGTCGCAAAGATGGTATGTCAAGACTCATCGATCGCTGATCGCAGCAGGCGATGCATCATGGCCAACACAGAGTCTGACCCCCGTAGCCCAGACGTTCTGCCAGATGTTCTGCAGCTGTTTTTCACCCTTCACCTGGCATCGCCTTCACCACCCAAAAGCGGCATCGCCGGATGCCACCCCGCATCGGTTTCTTTTGGGCCTCGCTGAACCTTGAAGTTCACCTGGCCGAGTTGACTTCGGAGGTCCAAAGGAAATCGCTGTGCCACAAGAGCTTTCGGGGATATAGTCGAAGTCATACGTAGAAGTCATATAGAAGTCATATAGACTTCATAGAAGTGGACACAACCATGATGGCTTCGATTGCGAATCTTGGCAGCTTGAAATGGCCCAAATTGCCCTCAAAGTCACATGACATGACTGTAGCAACTTAGGAGAAACTCGTGGTGGCAGTGCACCCACACCCCAGCGGGCTCGTTTCGCGCCAACCTCGATCCAAAAAAGTCTCGCCCTACGAAAGAGTGCGCGGCAACGAACAATCGCACCATCCAGTCGCGCTTCGCACGTGAACGCGGTTTTCGCACGCGAAGCGTGCACCCGGGAACTGGATGTCGGTGCAATTCTGCGCGCCTTGCCAGGGAACTTGCCCGGTGTCTGGTGCCCCATGTTGGGGAGCACCTGCCGCGGGAGCTGACGAACGCGCTCTCGGAGCACTGGGTGAAGAGTTGGGAGGGATCGGAGCGCCTGGTGGTGTGAGTTCAGAATCGAAAATAGCTTCAATCGCTGTTGAAGCACACCGAGAATCCATCTGAATCCATCTGAATCCACCCTTGACACCATGTGACATGACACAAAAACCATCCACCATATTCTCATAGACGAGTGTTATTGAAGGAAGAATCAGCGGCTACTCTACCCGGTGCCCAACCCTGCAGCAGCTCTCAATCAGAGTCTTGTTTCAGGAATCCGGAACAGAACATCTTTCAATCCATACAAATACCAACCTGTTGTGCAGCCTGGCTGCTTCGCCTGGCTGCTTCGCCTGGCCGCTCCCCAGGTTCCCTGGCCCCCCCCCATGTTTCGGAGGCCTTGAGAGACGAGCCTTGCTTGGCACCTTTGGCCACACGCACGGCCACCTGCCACAAGCTGCTCAGCAGCTGCTCCAAAGTGGAAAAAAAGGCCTCTCCCTCTGGTGCATCGCAGGTCATGGCAATGGCCATGGCGGCTTTTCCAAAACCTTCGAAATCTGGAAACTCTTGGATTTATGGATCAAAACTGGTGGATTCTGAGAGTCTCCAAGGCTGTTTCATAGGCTTCCTGATTTCAGAGTCGATCCTGTGGCAAAGGATATGGCAGATGAGGTCCATGTCCCCAATCAGGTAGCTTCTTTGCTCCTCTTGAAAGGGACCTAGTTATTGAATCAGGGTTCCTGAGATCAGGATTCATGAGATCAGTTGTCAATCTGGTTGTATCAACAACATTGACATCAAATCATCGTGTCAAAGCCTTTTCGCCGTTCCAATCATGTGGCATTCCGATCGTGTGGGTGCTTGCAGATTACCCTGCCAACCCCCCCTGGAAAAAAGAAAAAAGCATACGTATGAAGCGCGTGGCCGGACATGTCCCCGGTGCCTCGACCCCCACTTCGTGGCATCGTTCCCGGCTTTCCTGCTCCTTTTCCCTCATGCCGACGACCTGGCGGTGCGCAGCGTCCGGCTCTGAAGATGGGTCTTGTGACAACTCTGCTCGGCTGGAACAAATAACTGTTTTCACTGGTTGTTGCTTGGGCACATGTTTCAAACATATCTCCGCACTGCTGGGTGATGTTTAAATCCTTGCAGAGAAATCACCCAGCTTTTGGTCGGTCATGATGGGCAACCTTAAGCCAGAAAGTAGGCCCTAATATGAAGCAAGTCCAACCAATAATTCAATATAGCCAGCCGTGTGCAAATCTCCTCATCTGAGCAGGAATGCTCACCGAAATGTCATGGACATGTGCGATGAATCAACACGGATCTAGCAAATCTGACCAAAACTCCCTCATTCATGCTTTGTCGGCAATGTCAACAATGTCGCCCATCAACCATGCTCATTCTCCCATGGTCCATTGCACACGTCCCGACTACCCGAATGGAACCGAACTCCACTTCCAAACTTCGCAAAGAACATCTGGGCACATGTCCATGGACTCTCATTGGACTATGGCTCCCAAAGAAAAGAAAGTAGCGACCGTGAATCATTGGTCTTGGTCTATCTATGTCTGACAGCTTGCAAAGTGACCAAAGAAATACAATCAAACTCCATTAATGTCCTGCTTTTACAACCGATTGTAACACCAAAGAGCCGAGCGCTTTTCTCCGATCGGGCCTGCCGCCCGAAGGGTGTCATGCCATACTTCGGCACCTGGACCTTCGATCGTTTGCAGCGAAGGTTTCGGTAGAGATCTCGGATGAAGATACGGAGAAGGTTCAAGCTGGATGCGCCTGACTTTGAAGAAAGCGTGTTCTCAAAGTTGTCTGATGAACCTAAAATACACATATATGCATATAACTAAATATACCTATATTTACCTGTGAGATCTTTGAGCTCCTGATAGATGAGATTCTGTGTGTGTGCATCGAGGACCATGATGATGCTCTATCTATCTTAGCCAGCTTCAGGTTGGCCTGCAAGTCAGCCATGGTCTTCGCTTGTAAAAAAGGCACAGCACAGACTAGAACCATCTAGAACCCATGGAGGTCAAAATTCACAGGAAGTGTCTCAAGATTGGAGCCAAGGTCACCACAAGTTTTGTTTCTCTTCCCCCATCCACAGCCTTCTCCGGAGGGCAACGACCACAATCTTGGCATTCCGGCCTGACAGAGTTAGCTTCTGACATTTGTTTAGCTGATTCATTCTTGAGGTCCAAATCCTCCCTCGAGCCCCAAAAGAAGTAATCTCTCCACAAATTCACGTTCTGGGAAAGGCGTCATAACGAACATCATAAGATTCGATAAGGATAAGGATATTGCCAGATAGGTACTTCAAGGAGCTGCTTCCCAAGCCGACCTGGTTTCTTTCCAAGATTCCGTGGTGGGCCCTCTCGGGTTCAAATGTTCAAAAGAATAAGCATCGCAACCTCGCAATGTTCTTAACCCAATGAACCTTAGAAGGTTGCCAGGGTGGCCCCTTGTGGACCTGGGAGTTGCGGATGTGCCTGAGACAAAAGAGACGTCATGCAGACGTCTCGCCATGCAGTCTGAACGAAGAGAAAACAGTCCTTCTTCGATCCTCTATACCGCCTGTCTGCGAGACTGGCACGTGCTTCCTTCATCTGGTGTTCTGAAGGCTTGCTCAAGCGGAAGAGCACCATCTGGGTAGTAGGTGATGGTCGTGGTACTTTGCTCAGGGAGTGCTCCAAAGTCGCTCTCCTCCACCCACCCATAAAAGGCGCGTCCAACCTCCTTCGGCTTCATGGGTCCCTCTAGTCGCCAGGGTAGCGCAAGAATAGAATTGTAAAATGGTGCACAAGCCAGTGCTAGCTGACTTTCTCATCCACGATTCCAAGGGAGTTGCCCCTCTCACTGCACATTCCTGCAAACCCACACAACGAAGGTCTATATAGTATAGCTAGTATAATTAACCTCCTATGTAGGATACGTTGTTAAGTATACTAGAGTAGTTAAGCATATCACATCCTCGCCGATGTATTAAGTCGTCAATCTTCATGGAGGTTGGTCAAGAAAGAACGGTGCTGCTTCTATCGGCACGTTACGCAAGCGGCATGGCTCACAGTTGGAAAGTCTTCACCGAGCTCCCTGGCCGCTTGGTTGTGACAACGATAAACAGGTGCATGGACAAGTACAATTTCAGGGAGCCCAAAAAAGAAGACAAGACACTCAGGACTTTGACGGGCACTAACAGAAAAACAACTGCAAACCACTTCTTAAACCCACACAACGCCAGCTTTGTCCGGTTCCCACTGTTTGGGGTTTACTAGAATATGTTAGAAGGTTTGACGCCAAGAAGAAATCACTCTCCCATGCCTCGTCGGGTCTTCTTTGCAGCCTCTACAAATCATCGACCTGGACTCAAGCGGGCCACTGGAGAGGCCAAATGACATCGAGAGTTTCTCGTGTCCCGGACAGGAAGTATCTCCCCAGTAGCCATCGACCCTGTTCTACTAGGAACTCCCTGTGCTGCTGGCAAGTCAGGCTGCAGGCCCATACTTCCCGGCATGCTGTCTTTGAGGCTCGAAGGTTGGAGGGGTCAAGCCGTCCAGGAGTCGTTCCAATATTCAAAAACGTCCCTCCAACAAATGGAAACTCAAACAGCGGAACTGATGAAGATGCATGCCATGTTCGGCTGCTGGACGTGGGGGGGTCAATTGCCTAGTGTGGGATTTAGGTAGTAGCAACTCTAAAGCCTGGCTACTAATACCAATGTAGCAACATGACTTGTTGAGCCGGAAGGTGCCCACAGCTTGCAGCCTCTGAGTCAAAAGGTGCCAAAACATCCAAGAAACCAACGGACCAACGGAGGACATGGCCCCGTTCGACCCCCATTCTTCGACCCCCGTTCAACCACCTCTCGACTGCTTCACTTCCACCCCATGCGCCTTTGAAAGACGAAGATCTTCTTCTCCACGCCGTTGTAGAGTTCGGAGGCTGAGATGGGCACCAGGACCTGGCAAAGAAGCTTCTGTTTGAAGGTGAGGCATGGAGGGAAATTGCATCCTGTTTGCCTGGGAGGCCATGGAAGAACATATTTTGAGATGGTGATGTACCACAGTCCTCTACCCTCCCATCAGCTGTTATACAACCTTATCGCAGGTGTTTGGCTCAGTATCCTTTGACAGGTGCTTTGAAGGGCCTCGTTACGGCTTAGCGTACATTTGTGAGCACTGCAATTATGTGCTGTGTGAGTCTGCAAAAACAGTGCAAGGAAAGGTTGCAGATTTTACTAGCCATGGTGCTTTAGTAGATTTGCCATGTTTCTGGCAACACGATGGTTAAAAGTTGGGAGCAGGCCGGTTGCACTTCCTATTTGGTACTGGAATGTACCGGCAACTCTTCTAGACAGACCAGGGGTGGACCTGTCAATTGAAGTGCTCAAGGCGCGATTGGATAGAGATATCAGAAAAGGTCCAACTTTGTTGTTCCGCCAGTCAAGCACTTGCAGCACACGGGCAAAGAAAAACTTGAAATGTAGAAACAATATCCACAATCGTTGGTAGCACCAGCATCCTCCCAAGCTTGACCCTAGCCTCTAACTCCTCACTCTGCAGCTTCTGTTGGATCTTACTCTCCACGTTTGCCTCATCATCAAGGGAGTTGCAATTAGCAAGCTTGTCACACAGGTGTCTCTGCTACGCGTTGGTTTCGGCATAAACCAATCTCATCCTATCAGATTACTCCATGCAAGTGACAGCTTGTCGAACCAGCAGACTTCAAAATAAAAAGGATCTGATGTAGGCGTCGCGTTTATCGAAGCTTCAAACCTACCAAAAGAATGCTCCATACTCTTGACCAGCCTCCAAACCCCTCCTAAAGTGTTCTCAAGACAACGACTGTGATGGGTGGCACCTTGTCAAACTGCCGCTTTTGCTGCTCAATCTGCTGTTTGAACCTCAGGGAACCATTGCATGCACCAACGGTCCGAACGACCTCAGGGAACCATTGCATGATTTCGTGGAGCTTTCAGATTTCAGGTTGGCCGGACATGATGTCGTCGGCGCGGCTTAGTTCATCCATCCTCACACAACCTAGAATCCATCCTCCTCGGTCCCTCCTTTCATCTGACTGGTGCCCAGTAAGGAATGACGGTGGCTGAATCCGTACCTCCAGCATGCGGACTGAGGGTCATTCCTTCCTTCCCTGCAAATCGCCATATCACACCACTCAGTGTCACTGGATCCGCAGGGGAAACTCTTCAGGCCCGTGATCTCCACCTGTCAAGACCGTGATCTGCAGGTTCCTTGCGTCCCTTGGGTGATTCAGTGACCCAAAAGTGTCTGCGACCGAAAGCAATGACTCGAAAATGAACGAGACAGGGTTTTTGAAGATCGGGTGGATTCACCGGCAACTGGCGAACAGAACATGTTGCTAGACATGTGATTCTCCCTGTGGAATAGCTCTTGAAAACTGTTCTAGTCGATCCATCTCCGAACCTCGACAAACTTCAGTCGGCGGAGTCCAAGTCTTTGCATTCTCCCAGTGGTCTTGTGCATTCTCCTACCTATTCTGCATGACTCGAAGCGATATCCTCATCTCATACGTACCAAGACTATCCAAGACCACCAATCTTCCACAACAGGGATTCATCGAATTTCATCACTCAACCAGGATGAATCGAGGCACTCTTGAAAAAGGTAGGATACTCTTAGGATCTCTTGGTAACAGCAAGCTAGAGAGACATACACTAAACCGATATCGATGCAGCCAACAATTTCTGCCTCCAAGCTATCCAGTTGCGCCATTTAGGACCCTGGTGTTTAACCTCAAAACGCCCCATCCTAGCGATCTGAGCCAACCAGGCATCTGGTACTGTGGATGATTCTTTGGCACCTGGCAGCGGTTTTCACAGCGGTGTCCCTCTCAACAGCCAGGACGTGTAGACACGCACTGAGGGCCACTGAAAATGATGAGATATGATGAGCCCTTCCAAAAGGCAGCAAGTCCTTTTCTAGACTTAACCGATCAACAAAATACTTTCAGGATGGGTTGAAAGTTACCAAACCAAGCTTTCTTGGGTGATTAAATTTTACCCCATCAATCTTTTGAACTTTTGTATAGCTCTAGATATCAGTGCTTTCATCCGAAACTAGGAAAACACCAAGTGACCGAGCCAGCGTGGATGAAAATTGTGCAGAGGAGCCAAATGCGTCAGGGATCAGTTGCATACAACGTGTCAGCTATAATGTCACCTATACAGCACAAGCGAAGAGTAAATGCACGGGGGGGATCCAAATACTGATTGGTTCGTTTTCTGCCCACCCTGAAGCCCCTGATGTTACACGGGAAAAATACACAGAGTGATCGACGACGAGCTGACTCTCTCGCTTGCGGCAAGACATCGGACCTGGTTGAGCTGCGCATCCTCAGGGGGAGCGTGGGTGGAGCGTGGGGGGTTGGGGCCCCCTGAAGTCCGAAAGACACGAAGGATAGCTCGGGAAACTCTATCTGCAACACGTTGGAATTGGAGAGCGGCCCCTTAAGACCTCCTTCCTCTAGACACGTGAATTCGCCACTTGCATCTTCTGGGGGCCTGTATCTCAAAACGAACGGAGTGAACGTGTTCAAAAGGTGTTGAATCGGCATCAGATTGGGAATCCCAGCTTCAGCCTTTGACAAAAAGTGCTTGAGTGGTAAACCAAGTACTTCAGATTCAGGACCCAGCCCAAATCTCCAGTTTGGTGCAGGCAAGCTTCTAGCTGCGCCTTTTGCCCTTCCACCTCCTTCCAAGCTATCTCCACGTTCTTCACCAGCTGCATCCCACCTGAGTATGAAACCCCAGAATCATCCCAAGTCAAGGAGAGTCCAAGGGAACCAACTGAAAATTGGGCCAGGCATAGTTCTTCCACAGACCAACTGCTACCAGACTTTGAACCAGACAGATCCGCCCTTTCTGTTCAGCGAATGAACTATGTTCTATAGTCTTCAGAATCGAATCCCAAACGTCCGTTGATCACGGCAGATTGGGCTGGAGAACTAATTGTAGCATTGGGTCCAAGTCTGTGAGATCCTTCACTCCAACTGTTTATCCAAACGCTGTCAAGCCACCCAGATTGTATTGCCTTAGAAGCTGCGTGTCTTCGGTTTTTCAGCAAGCAGGGTTCCTCTCAACCCATGGGGCCACCCCTGCCCAGGCTACATTTCTATAGTGCCAATCAAAAAAAAAAACAACTTTTGCTTTGCATGTGGAGGAGACCCTGATGCCCCAAACATCTGCCACTCGATGTGTCACATCACTTTCCTGAAAACAAAAAAAATACCCCCGTGTTTCTTTTGACCAGCGGGGAAGTCACTGGGAAACGGGTCGTCTCTTCCGGTTGAAGAAGGGAGGTTGAAGAAGGGAGGTCGAAGACGTCACTTGCATCATGATCACAGGGATCTGACTGCGGCGCCGGCACATGTCCTCGTGCGTTCTCAGGGTGGCTCTCGCAACCCAGCGTTGTAGAGAGTGTAGGTTTCGGCGCGACCGAACACGCAGCCCTTGAAGCGATCTATCATGGGACCATGACGAATGGGTAGGGTGGGAACGTTTTGCTGCACAGCTGATGCCCATAAGGCATGATAAGGCCATGCACACGCCAGACTACATCAGCATGCGTAGGCGGTCCAATTTGGATCAATTTGGCAGTGGAAAAGAAAAAGCAGCAAACTTCCAGCCACTTCAGCAATCTATATAGTGGCTGTTCGTTGCTTGGTCTATACATGTCTATACTCACAGTCGAACCACCATGGCTCTGTCTTCAAGACGCTGTGTACACGTGGAACCCACCAACTGTCATCCGTATCAGTGGTGTGTGGTCACGGGTCGCAATTGGCAAAGTGCATTGATCTGGGTGCCCACAAAATGTATATACATGATTCTACATGGCATATACTGTCTGTTATACTACTATATATATATATGTATATAGTTTTTTTTTTTTTTTTTTTCGGATGTGTTCAAACCCACAGCGAGCTGCTTCAACATCGAAAAGACCCTTCTTCTCATCACCTGAAGCACTTGCAGAGCATCTCCAGTGTGCAAAAGCGAAAAGTTGACTTGTAGCTGCAGGTACGAGATGTCCCTTGAGTGTGTTATTCTTTGCACCGGACAATTGTTGGCGGAACGAGCTCGTTTGCCGCGCATTCTCTTTGAACAGCCTTCCAGCCTTCCACGCAAAACTGCCTTTTCCTGTGCAGGCGCAAATCGATAGGCCACCGAGCAGCGTGAATAGAGCAGTGCATGTACACACTACGTTCTTCCGCTTTGGCACCACGGGCGGTCCAATGACTCCCTAGCCCTGCTTTCCCCGCCCCCGGCCAGCTGCCCTCCGCCGTCTGGCGAGGGGCCGTCGCTTTTCAGGATCACCCAGGACCTCTCAGGGAAAGGATGCATGGTCTCGGCCTTTGAGATTGGAAAGAGCACAGAAAAAAGAAGACATGCGTAGAAGTGCAGAAGCTCAGAATTCGGGACGTCTCTATCTGGCTTGTCCATGTTGAGAGACATCTTATATATGGCATTCAAAGCATGTTGACACGTCTGGAAGGCTAGCACTTCCTCTAATTACTAGAACCCCTGTAACTTTGGAGAATGGTTATCAGTTGCCAAAAACTGAAGAAGCCCAAAGAGACTCTCACAGTTCAAGTGTTGCCTTAGGGTTTTTCACGACCACCCTCCACCCGAGCATGGCTTCCGGTTCAGATGTTATCTTTGCCTTTTGCTGCTTGATCTCTTGCTTCAAATGAACAGTTCAGAGCACTCTGAATGGACATGAGAAGGTAAAAGCATCATGTGTGTTCCTTCAGCTCTGTTCCCATCTCTGCTCAGCTTCCCTCCGGGATATCCGGGACCTCATAGGCTTCCCGGATGTCGTTGAAGACTTTTGGATCCCCACCTGCGCAGAAACACCACAAGTCAAATGGATGAAATAAGACTTCTAAAGAAGCGTCTGCAGAATATACGAATCTGAGGCATAGAGGCATATGTGCAAGGTGGCTCGTGTGTTTTCAGGAGTATCTTGAACAGGAATCTTTTGGTTCCAGGCAAGTAGTGGGACCCTCTTTCGTGCCGCCATGTAGGTCATGACGGGCGTTCATGTGTGACGTCGGGCCAAGATGCATGTAGCTTTTGTGTTGCGTGTGCCTAGTCCGAGCGTGGTGTTGCGTTCCCCTGATATAGGTACGAGGTAGGAATGTATGGCATCTCGTGTTTCCGACCGAAAATCAAATGTCCATCCACATGTCTTGGGCTGGGTCTACTACAGAATCGTGGATTGTACTTGGAGGATACCTTTGCAGCCCTAGCAACTGTTGCTGGAAATGCCATGTATCAAAAAGATTAGCAGACTAGCCAGCATACCTTCCAGGGTCACGTCCTTCGTTTCATGGCCCATGCCATGTCCTTCCCATGCATGGTCCTGCGCAGTCACGTCCTTCCTCGCGCCGCCACGGTCCTCCGCGCGGCGCCTTTGTCTGGGTGATACTGCACTGAGAGGCGACGATACTTGCCTGAGGGGATCGGGTCTGCCGGGTTTTTCTCTTTGGAAGCTGCCTCCATCCAGCCTTTGAAACGGACAAGCCTCTTGGTTGTAGTCACCCCTGGCATGCCATCCACTTCCGAGGTTTCTTGTGACTCTTTGCATACACTAAATATCAGGTGCTTCTTTCACAGCGCATGGCTGGGGGTCCAAATTCAGCCCGTGGTAGGTAGTTGTGCACTTTGATCTTTTTGAGCATAGGGGGTTGCAGCCCTATCTGAACGAAATGAACACAAATAGCTTTGCGATGTGCGATAGTCGCATGGTATTTATGAACCGCCGATTTGGGCCAAATGTGGGGGATACTCTTTACTTTAAAGCTTCTTGAATTGCTTCATGGAACTTCATTCTTGAATTCTTTCATTCCGGAACTTTCTCCATTCCTTGAACCTTGAGTTTCTTAAATTCCTTCATTCCTCAGCTATTATTGATGAAGTCCTTAATTCCTTCAATCCTGAAACGCTAGAATCCTTTATTCCTTGATGGTTCAAATTCCTCAACTCCTTCAATCCTGAGTTCATTGACTTCTTGAGTCCTTGAGATCTTCAAGCCTTCATTCCGCTTCCTTACATCCCATGGGGCTTGCTCTGAGGAGAACAAGGAGAAAACTGTTCGAAAAAACTTCCAAGTTTGTCCTTGTCTGAGCTGCTCTTAATGGCACTTTGCTCTGCATCTTCTGCGACATCCAAGATCTTGTAGAGGTCTGCGCCTCATCTGGTGAGTTCAAAAACGCTGCAGGCGCACTGCTTTAGCTATCAAGTTCTGGACACCCAGATAGCTGAGGCGCATCACGTGAAGCAGCACAAGAACATGAATTTTGAGATTGGAATAACGGCCAGACGTCCGAGCAGCTGCCGGTGGAAGCTCGGACTCTTCTCAGGTTGGGAGATATTGAAGTCTGGTTCAGGTGAGCGACCAGGGCAAACCGGGGCACTCGATTGGAAACCCAGACTCTGCCTCAATCCGAGAAACGGCTGTTTCTGATGAAGGACAACTGAACGAAACTATAGTGGTCCCCCGCCAAGAAACACATGACTCACAATGAAGAAAATGAACCGCCTTTGGCGCGATTTTCTCGTGGCAAGCAGCTGATCATGCTCTCCTGCTCGTCGGCCATGGCGACTCGCTTGAAGTCAAGCTTGCCTCGCCGTCGACACTGAGACATCAGATCCTATGACATCGTGAACTACTACAGCGCCAAGGTGTGTTCACATGATCCTATATGTGGGGAAGTGTGCATCCACAAGTCCACAAGAGAAGGGCCTGGCGCACGACCCTCGAAAACACCAAAAAGTGAACCCGGACGGACCACTGTCAGACTCTTGGGAACGAATTCCTGCGCCAGCGACCATCTGCAAGGCGTTATAAGCTGTGTTGAAATGATGAGGTCCCTTCCCCTTCTCGGCCATCCCTAGGAGGCGGATGTTTTCCACTAGTCGACCGGAGTTCCAAACGATGCGAAGCACGCATAGCAAATGTCAACGGGATAATATGGGATATGATGAAAATGATAGAATAGGCGGACTCTTGGCCTTGTGGTGCTGGACCATATATCGCAGCTTCGACTTGCAAGCCAAACGCTGGCCAACCCACCCGGTGTCCAGCTCGTGCAGGCCTTTCTTTCCCGTGCTCTTACCTCAGAAAAGACATTGAAAAGAATGAGAAATTGAGGATGCTTCGCTGGTGTTTGCTGTGCATCATCCAGAGCTGTCCAAAGCACACTAGTGATTCTTAGGGGAGGCCGGACAAATACTTGAATCAGTTTGTGGCTTGTTGACCCCATCAATAGTGATAAATTGATAAACACGTTAAATGTATGACATGCGTGGCAGTTAGGGTCCGAAGTGTCATCTTCTTTCTTTACTTCTCCCAACAGCAATTCAACAACAGAATCACCTAGCAGACTGAAAGACTCTGAGATCAACCAAACCTGCATTCACTGATCAGGAAGAAGATTGATCAGTAGACACAAGTCAAGTAGTCTTCAGTCAATTCCAATGGCCACATTATAAGCCAGCCATGTAAGGATGATCACAAATAGTGGAGGATGGCCAGTTTGTTCCAGCCTCCTTCGGTTCACCCACCCACAAAGCTTTTCAGAGGCTCATTTGGTTTCCCGATCTAATGTGGACACTCCCGTGTGTTCCTCTTTTGAACCACCAAATGACAACAGGGGAAAGAAGCTCAACATCACTCCAAAGGCCGATAGATTGAATCCAAGATGCTTGGCTTCTCCATCACTAAGGAGACCTTCTGGAGTTCAGATTCCTCCTTGTCATGAAATCAGCTCATGATGATTTGTATAGATAGACCATGAATGGATCAATGCTGGATGCACACTCTACGGTGCAAGCTTCGCATGGTCTATTACGGGTGATTCTCGCAGCCCACCCTTCTTGAGCTGTTGTAAAGGAATAAGTTTTCTTAAGAATGACTTTTTGAGATACCCTGCCCAAAGGGTCGATGACACCTGGCCAAGGGGTCGATCTGAATTGTCTTTGGAGTCTTGGGGTGTCTCCTTCTGCAAATGCAGACCCACAATCATTGTTGAAGAAACAACTGGGTGAAAACTCATGGTGCTCGAGCAATTTGCTACATAGGTGGCATGCACCTTTGACTTACTCAAAACCAAACCACTGAAAAGAATCTTGAAGTCCATTCCTCCTCGAATCCATCCAAAAGACTTATTTGTCTTCAAAAGTCCTTGTTGTCCAGCTTCTTCCGATCCACTTGCTCTAAGCCCTCAATGGTGAATTTCACCACCTAGAAGAGTGCCCCACGCGATTCGTGGACTCGTCCGAAGCTGGTCCGGTGTGCACTTGGGAGCCCATTGTGAGGTTCCGTGCACTTGGATTGGAAGAGTTGGAAGATTCATCGTTTTCAGAAATGTTCTGAAACTAGGGGTTCAGCGATATCCTCCCTTTCTTGCAGGACCCTCAAAAGAATGTTGCTGTTGATGGCAAATATGCTTTTCTCTGGGATCAATCAATGATATCAATGTCAAGTATGTCTCTGAATCAAAGGACTCAACCAAGAATCGTTTGGCGTTTGGCATCGATTTTTTCGACAGTACAATGGCATGAAACCGTTGATTTTTAACCAAGAATGAAACCGGTGATGTCGCGCATGGGGCCTTGAGCTTCGGCGTGTTAATCAGGACACGGCCATTGTTGGCCGCCCATAGACAATGACCCTCAGGCTCGCACTCCTGCAATAGATCAGCTGCTGCTCGCCACAGTGAGAAAAACATAGAAAAACTTCATCACAAGGACAAACAGGGAGAGTAATTGTATTGACTAGCCATCCAGAGAGAATCTTGAGTTTATGACACGTGTTTTGGCCCAAACTCTTACCTCTGCATTCCCTTGGCACGACTTATTGTTCCTTCCTTCGGAGATCTCTGATCTCTCCGCGCAGGGGGCCACTCCTTCAAAGGAGACTCGACGAAGCCGTCCCGTAGAAGCAGGTACTTGGAGGTCTTCCCTTCCTCACATTCACACATTGAATTGGGTGATCCCACCTTCGCACTCATTCATGTGATGTTGCATCTTGTCAAATGAAGGAGAGTCTGACTATTGCTTGTCAGTTCACCTTGATTTGCGCTTCATTCCGACATCCTCTCCACTCCCTGCACTCACTGGTCAGCTTTCCGGTACACATGAGATCTGCAAGCTGCCCCTCCCCTTTGCCCGTTCAAACCCCGTTTTGGTGTGCCACCTTTTGCCCAAGCGGCCCACTCGGTGTTCACCAGCCACCTCAAAGAATCGTCGCACATCCAGCTGGAGCGTTTCGGCGTTTCAGCCATCGAACCGAAGTTTCAGGCCCTGAGGCGCAGGCTCAAACTCGGCCTCAAACGAAGCTCAGAAGTAGGTGTGAAGATACGGAGGACCCGACCGCAGTGCCTAAACCAAATTTGAACAAAGGATGGTGCTTGCTTGGCAAGATTGAAACGATCTGCGGCATTCTTAAGACCAATGGCCAATGACTCACAACGACCCAAGCACCCGTAAGTAGAAGGCATTGGTCTAGCCATCCCAGGAACACTTCGATCTGCAGGATCCACCCACCAATTGGAGATGGTTCCTGCCACTCCAAGCCATGTTCCATCCCACCAGTGGAAATTCTGTCTACCTTATACCTTCCTTACGAGCCATCTGGGTCGCCAAGGATCGGCCAGCTGGGTCCCCAAACTGAGATTTCAGAGTTCTCGGTTTTGGGCCACTCAGCTCCTTTGCGTCCACCACCGCCCATCATACCACCTGTTCCAAGTTCAAGTTGACAGCCCAAAAAAGGTTCCAGGCATGAAAAAACTGAAACCAATTTGGAGAGTGTTGAGTGCTCTGAAAGCGAGGGCTGAAAAGCTGCAATACCTGCACTCTGGTTTCGCTGGCGGTGCAATTGTGATTGAAACCAATTCCCGGTTCAGTTGGCGCTGAGTCGCAAAGTCCTTGATGCAAAAGGAATGTCCTTTGTCGGGGCAAGTGCGAAACGGAGCAAAGGGCCTCCCATCATCCCTTGCAACATCTCGGCGGGGATCTCGAACTGGAACTGCCCTGGCGATGCTGTATTTGCATCTGTATTTGCATTCTATGTACGATGCACAATCAGATACCATTCAAACAACATTGTGATGTCGGTCATTGGGATTTTTTGTTTTTAGAATTTGCGTTCCGTGATGGAATACACCTCTGCACTCAGAGCTGCAGCTCACGCCGTCGTCTCCCCACCAAACCCAGAACAACTGCCTCGAGCATTCTTTGCCAACAGCAACAGGAAGCAAGCCTCCAAGCAGTATGCCGCACACATTAAGCAGTGAAATGTGGTTTGGTTTGGCAAAAAAAATGCAAAAAAA